AAAAAAAAAAAAAAAAAAAAAAAGAATAAAAAATGTGCAAAGACTGTCTGAGAAGGATTAAAAAGCTATGAAACATGCCCTTGCCAGTGAGGAAATGATAGCCCAGACAAGCAGGGATCGGTCCGGCTTACCAGCGGCCTCACGTGGATCACAGAATACTCTGTACTCCGTACTGCATACTTTTGGTTTTGGGTTTTGAATTTTAAATTGTTGCCAATGTAAAACTTGGGAGATTTTACATTTAACATCGGCGTTTGCTGCTTTTCTGGAGCAGCAGAAGGCTCCGGCAGCATTGAGCCTGCGTTTGGGCAGGTCACCAGGTGGCTGCCCTTTGAGACAAGATATTACAAGCTGACTTGTGTCTCCCCAGAATTCACACATTGAAGTCCTAACTCTCAGATTCTCAGAATGGGACTGTATTTAGAGATCAGACCATAACAAGGGTAATCAAGGTAAAATGAGTCATATGGGTGGGCTCTAATCCAGTATGACTGGTGTCATTATAAGAAGAGGAGATCGGGACACAGACACAGAGTGACAACCATGTGAAGACACAGCAGATGGCCACCTGCAAGCCACAGAGAGAGGCCTCAGAAGAAACCAACACTGTGGACACCTTGATGATGGGCTTCCAGCCTCTAGGATCATGAGAAATACATGTCTATTGCTGTAGCTCCCCAGTCCGTGTATTGTTATGGTGCCCCATGCTGACTAGGACAAAGAGCCTGAGTTCTTCAGTGTCCACAGTCCTCACCACTCCCAAATGTCATGCATCCCACTCCTGTACACATGGTTCACAGCCTCTGTCGGTATCTGGGTTTGCAACCCCTGATCCACAGGAAAAGAGTGATGATGCTCCATGTATGTTGTGTGTTCTGATTTCAAAGTTCTGATGTTCATATCTTCTTTAATTCTCCCCACACTTCTAAGAGGCTGATACTGTCATCTCCACTTGGCAGAAGAGAAAACAGAGCTTGGAAAAGGGAAAAATGATTTTTCCTAGGTCAGAGGGTGGAACTCTGACCTAGGAAAAGTTCAGAGTGGGGTGGAACTCAGGCCTGCTGGCTCGGGGCCCAGAGCTCATGTTCCTTTACCATGGCCCCTCAGCTAACAGGGGAGTTACTAACAAGGCAGAGATGTGTATGCATATGTGTATGTCTGTTATAGAAGTAAGCTATTTATAGAAGTGAGCAAATCCAGGGGAAGGTTATTTGCTGGAAAAAATATTTGGCACAGAATTCCTTTCAAAAGAAAAGCTAGAATAGAATATAATTAAGGGAAGTTTGATTTATGCAAGAGTTCAGCTCATGGAGGCAAAGTAAGGTGGGCAGGCCTTTGACCTGGAAGATGGAGTGGCTGTGAAGCTGTGGGTGTGGAGAGGACTCTCTTACCCCACAAAGAACATTCAGGAGCAGGAAGTATCAGTGACTGAGACTGCCGGAGAGACTCTGCGATCAGCAGGGTCAGGATAAGAAAAGGAATAGAGAGACAGGGGAAAAGAACAGGGAGGTTTGCATAGAAAAAAGTGACATCTTGGATGAATATTCCATAGAGACAGAGTGGCTTCAAAGATGACTCCAGCCTTGTGAAAAGTAGTCTCAGTTCATCCATACAATGACACAGTATGACACCATTAGAAGAACAAAGTAGGCCTGTATATGCAGATATGAACATGGAGAAGACACACTATTAAGTGAAAAAATCAAGTTGTACCATGGAACATAAAGTATGATTCTCTTTGAGGTAAAAAAAAAAAAAAATGACCAGGTGTGGTGGCTCATGCCTGTAGTCCCAGCATTTTGGGAGGCTGAGGAGGGTGGATCACGAGGTCAGGAGATCGAGACCATCCTAGCTAACATGGTGAAACTCTGTCTCTACTAAAAATACAAAAAATAGAAAAAATTAGCTGGGTGTGGTGGCACGCAGCTGTAGTCCCAGCTACTTGGGAGGCTGAGGCAGGAGAATCGCTTGCACCTGGGAGGCAGAGGTTGCAGTGAGCCATTGCACTCCAGCCTAGGCGACAGAGCAAAACTCTGTCTCAAAAACAAAACAAAACAAACAAAACCCAGCACAAATACAGTGTGTGTGTGTGTGTGTGTGTGTGTATGTATATATATATGTATATGTGTATATATATATGTATATATGTATACACATATATATACACACAGAGGGGTTGGAGAAATAATTTCTGAAAAGACACAAAATCTTGTTAAAGGGGTTACACCTTTCAGGAGGGAGTGTGTGGATTTTTACTTTTCTTTTCTTTTTCTTTTTTTTCTTTTTTTTGAGACGGAGTTTCGCTCTTGTTACCCAGGCTGGAGTGCAACGGCGCGATCTCGGCTCACCGCAACCTCCACCTCCTGGGTTCAGGCAATTCTCCTGCCTCAGCCTCCTGAGTAGCTGGGATTACAGGCACGCGCCACCATGCCCAGCTAATTTTTTGTATTTTTAGTAGAAACGGGGTTTCGCCATGTTGATCAGGATGGTCTCGATCTTTTGACCTCGTGATCCACCCGCCTCGGCCTCCCAAAGTGCTGGGATTACAGGTGTGAGCCACCGCACCCGGCCCTAATTTTCACTTTCTACCTTTTTGAACTGTCCGCATTTCTTACGATGAGTATCGTTACTTTTATAACATTTAAAACAAAAGGTAACCCTAAGGTTTAAGGATTGGAAGACAGGTAAGTGTGGTTTCCCTGCTAGGAGGTGGAGAGAAGTCAGACATTTGGCAGGAAACAAATTCCGCAGTGAATCTGATATGTTAGAATGAAGGGCTCTAGTGATTTTGGAAACATGTGGAGAGTCTGAGGAGTGGGCAGTTGAGAGCAGGAGTAATTGATATAATTACTCCCGATGACAGAATAAAGTAGAGAATGGTGCAGAGGGAGGGCAAACATAAGGATGTGAGAGGACAGATTTTTAACAATGCTAACTGAGCACCCTGGGTTGACCTATGTAGGACGTTGGCTATTATTATTGCTAGTTCAGCATGGTGGAAGCACAGGGTCTCTGAGAGATGGCCAGCCTAAGGAAGGGACCCCTGAAGAGTTCCAAGCACGGCAGTTTTGTGGTCAAGGAGCAGCGAAGGATCACAGTGAGGCTGTGCAAGGGACTCATGGTGTCAGAGGAGAGACCTGGGCTGGGAGACTGTTAGGGGCCATTGCAATTGTTCAGCTGAAAAGTGAGATCCTAGAAAGGGGCAGCAGCAGTGGGGATGGAGAAATAAGAACAAAGCATATTAAGACAAGTAGTTTGGGGGGAGGAAGGAGAGTGAAGAGAGTCATGAAGCACTGGATACAAATCTCTGCCTGACGTTCAATACCTTTTGAGCTCAGTTTGACAGTCTGTATCATATATTTAAATAAATGTGACAATCAAATGAAATAATGCATTCAGTAAATGTTAACTGTGACTGTTAGCTCGGGTATTGGACTCAAACGTACCAGACTTCAAGTCCCTTTTTCATCAGTTACTACCTGTGCAACGCTGTTGAAGTCATTAATGTCTCTGAGCCCAGTTCCTGTTTTGTAGACAGGGATAATCTGTTGTCATGAAAATGAAAGAGCGCAAGTAAAGTGCGGGCAGGACTTGGCACAAAGTAGGCGCTCAATACGGGTATGACTACTGTAACCGGTAAACCACTGGGCACGGAGCTTGGCATAGAGTCAGGACTCCAAACATGTTAATTTGTATTATGACACAGAAGGCAGCAGTGAGAGGCAGGAGTGAGGGAGCTGCCCAGCCCGCAAGGAGGGCGCGCTGGCAGCTCTCCCGCCTTCGCACCCCGCCCCGCCCGCAGCAGTGCGATCCTCCTCCTCCCGCGCGCACTTCCCGCCCCTCCCGACCGCGGTGCGGGACACTCACCCTCGCGGCTGCCCGCCACGTCCCGGGGCGTCCGGAGCAAAGAAGCTCTCGGCGGCGCTCCACGTCCCTGCTTTCCTCCGCGGCGGCAGCCGGGCGGAGAGCTGGCCCCAGGCATAGTTTTCCCATCCCGTCATGGGCGGGAGAGCCTTCCTCCCGGTCACGTGGGCTGGCCCGCAGCGCAGCACTCTCTTTTTAGCAGCTGTTTGGAAAAAAACTTGCAGCGCTGATGACAACTCGGGTGTGTCGATGCATCTCTGCGTGTGTAGAGCTTGTTAGTGTATTTGGAGGTTTTGTGGGCCAGAGTGATCAGACTGATGGATTCCCACGTGTTTATAAAGGTGTGCATGTACTTGAATGTGATGATAAATCGTATATATGTGTTTAGTTATGTGTGTGCATACGTACATTTATTAACATTTTCATCAGGGCTGTTCGGTGTATCCACACATGCATGGGCATGTCGAAGATGGCAGCTCGGTGTGTAACTGGAGTGCTCATCAGCGGCTGGACGTACACCGCAGTGGCTAGACATCTGTATGTGGGGTGCATGTTTAAATGTGTGTATGACTGTACAGTGGCTCATTCTGTGTGTTGATTTGTATGCATGCCTTTGTGTGGATTTTGTCTGGAGTGTGCACATATGCAATAGTGTGAGCGAGTGCCCCTGTGTCCCAGCCCTCATTTCTCCCCTCCCCAGCAAGTGAGGCTTCACTGGTCTCACTCACTCTCTGGCCCAGCCTCAAGTCATTGAGAGATGTATGGAGTGTCCTCAGCTCCCAGGACAGGCAAAGCAATCTTGTTAAGGAACCAAGCAGGCACTGGAGGAAAGGAAATCCCTCCAAGGCCTGGCTTTTGCTTCTCCCTGTTCCTTCCACTGCTCTCTTCCACTAGCTACCCATATTTCACTCCACGGCCAGAGCATCTGGTTAACAGCTGGTAAATGACACAAAATTTACAGTCAGAAATTTAATACAGATATGCATTCAAATTCTAATGTTGGATCCACTGCCTTAATCAAGTCAGATAACCTCACAGATAGTGATTTATTTTCTGAAAAATTGGGAGAATAATATTACCTGCATTGTCTTTACCCCAAAGTTGGGACACTCACTCATAAAGATGTTTGGTAAGCCATTGAACTATGTAGGGAACTATTACTAATATTACATAAATACTGTTTAAGAATGTAAGTTTGTAGGCTCAACAAACATTCATTCAACAAATATTTAATAAGCATCCATTATGTGTCAGTCCCCAGGCAAGGTGCTGGGGATATAGGGGGAAACAAATAGGCTTGATGCCTACCCTCATGAAACTTAGAGCCCTCCATCTGGGGGCGATAAAAGTGGTTACAAGCGAAATGAGTGTTACAGAAAAGAAAAACTTAAAAGTATAAACTGGGCGGTCAGGGGAAGGCCTGCGAAAGTGATGTTTCAGGTGAACCCTGAGAGACGACTGAGACTTGTCTGAATGTAGGTGAACTGTGAGCTCTAAACATGAATGAGTGATAACATGTGAAGCAGAGTTTAGGGTGTTGATACACAGATGTCTGGAAAGGAAACTTTCATCCACAGCCCCTTGTGTCAGATGTGTCAGAAATCTGAAAGGTGAGGAAACTGCTTAAGATGCCTGGAGGCCATTCAGAATCTAAAGGGTTCAGGAAAGCCCCTCTCCTAGGGTACAGTGGGAATATCTGTGTGTTACCCATGTGGCTTCATTATGACAGAGGTTGAAATCACTGGCTTACTCTTGTTGGTTTTTTAAAAAAAAGTTAATGAAAAGTATAAGAAAGGAAGTGATGCTATACTTGGCAATGTGAAACATTTACTGACTGAATGAATGGGGACAAATGTTTTCTCAACTTTTGAAGATACCTGGAACCTAGGTTTCCTGAAGCCTAGCAGAGTTCCTTAGTCCTTGTCTTATGGGTCCTTGCAGTGGTGATGGCTTCATGTAGCAGGCAATCCAAAATACTTGTTCAGCTGCAGTTCCACGAGCTGCAAGAACTGTGTCAAGCTAGACTGGGGCTTAGGACTTCCTCTCCCTAGTTTCTCTTTGTCTTGAACTCAGTCTATGAACATTTGTTTGCTTGAGACAGAGTCTCATTCTGTCGTCTGGGCTGGAGTGTAGTGGTGCAATCTCAGCTCACTGCAATCTCCGCCTCCCCGGTTCAAATGATTCTCCTGTCGCAGCCTCCCAAGTAGTTGGGACCACAGGCGCGCACCACCACATCCAGCTAATTTTTGTATTTTTAGTAGAGATGGGGTTTCACCGTGTTGCCCACGCTGGTCTTAAACTCCTGGAATCAGGTCATCCACCCACATTGGCCTCCCTAAGTGCTGGGATTACAGGTGTGAGCTACCACACCTGGCCACAGTCTATAAATATTTACCAACTATTTTGAGTATGGGGACAAAGAGGTGAACTTCTGAATGAGAACAGAAATTACACTAGGAGGCAAAATAGAATAAGTGCCACAGGAAAGGTGCAAAGTGTGAACATGAAAGAGGAGGATTTTCCCCTTCCATTCAATTCATTTCACATCCATTCATGTCTAAAGAACATGCTAGTATCCATCTAGAGAAGATGATGACATTATGACATTGATGGCTACAGAGCCGGGCAGCTATAAGCCAGATGTGGCAGACTGGTTTGTTCCACAATTGTCCAAACTTTTCTTGGTGTGCCTTCCTATACAACAGAGACTAGAAAGCTAAAAATCAATTTCCTAGACTCCTTGCTGTTGGGGCTCCCATTATAATTTAGGTTTAGCTAGTCCTGAGCAACTGGGCAAGACCTGAATTCAAAATTGTGTTCAGAAAAAAAACCCAAAAAACAAAAACTGAGTTTTGTGAAGAGCCTGGGAGGAATCTACTTTGCTGTTGCTGACTTGGAAGGTGCAATGTGACTCTGGAGTTCTGGCAGTTCCGGATCCCCAGATTACACCTAAGATGTTGTGTTCCTGTAGTCAACTGGGCCAGTCACTGGCCTCCTGATTGTGGCAGAAGTAACTGTTCCCTTGGGATGGTGGGGTTAGTAGGATGACGGGTTTTGAGACTCATTCCTGCAAACCCAAGTCAGAACTTGTTCTGCAATGGTTCCGAGTTTGATTCTTTTTATTACATTCATGTTTGCTTAAAATCCTAACTGACATATCGTGTTATGAACTATAGGTGCTGTGAAAGTCAGGGAAGGGAGATGAGTGTGGATCAGAACAAGCAGGGAAGAAAGGACTGCCTTCTTTCCTCTTTCTATCCACCTCCTACGCTCAGCCCCATTTCAATCCTACCATCAACCTTCAGATTAATCAGTTGATTAAATATAAGCAACTACAATGCACCAGGTACTCTGCTTGACATTGGGGTCACAGTGATGAACAAATAAGGAAGGTCTCTGCTTCCACAGGGCTTATGAGGAGACAGATATTAAACCAGCAATCAAATAAATATATGATTCAAAACTGTGGTAAGTTATGAAGGAAAATAAGAGGGAAACATGGGAAAGAATACTGATATGAAGTCTGTGAGATAACCTATTTTGATTGAGAAGTCTAGATGATCTCTTCAGTAGGTGATATTTAAGCTGAGCCCCAAAGGATAAAAAAGGGCTAGTCATACAAAGGTGGCCAAGGTGTGGGGAGGTGCCAGGCAGAAGGAGTAGAGTATGTACAAGCTACCTTACTCTTTCTAATGCTTCCCTGTGTAACACTAGCCTAAACACAGCCTTTTTTTGTTGAGGGTGCTGTCCTGTGTGTTGCAGGATTAGCAGGATCTCTGGCCTCTACCCACTAGATACTACCTACTAGTAGCAGACCCTCTCAACCCCAGCTGGGACAATCAAAAATGTCTTCAGACATTGCCAAATGTTTCTAGAGGGGCAAAATTGTCCTCTGTTGCAAACCACTGTCTTATGGGTAGCTCTGCTTTAGTCAGGGTGGTTTTCTCACTGACTCCCAAATGCACCATCAATGTTTACATTTCTGCACTTATATATGCTGTTCCCTCTAATTACTCTCTCTTCTTCTGCCTCTGCACAAAGCTTACCCATATTTCTACCACAAATTCATGGCTTTTTCCATTAGGGAGCTCTGTTTGGATGACTCTCATGTGTTTTGGGTGGTAAGGGAAGAGAGGTCCATCCTAGTGCTCTGTCTGCCCTCTGGCTACAGTGGCAAGGGAGTGTGAATTACGTACCTTTTCCTTTTCTGCCCAGTTAGTAGCTGAATTGGTGGGCATGAGACCAGAGTGAGCCAGAGTCTTTCCATGTGATCTCCATAAGATTGCATTGCTTTTCTTTTGAATTGTTGACTGCAAAGAGGTAGGCCTGGGCTGCCACTAGCTATATTTTCCTGCCACTTGGAAAGACCCTGCTTACAGCAGGAGACAATACACAAATAGAAACAGATTCAAGAAGAACTGAAAGGTGGAGCAAGTGCCATGACTACGTTATTAAAGCCCTTTTCAGATACTTGTGCTAAAACAGTCTCATTCTTATATTCTTTTTCTTTCTTTAAGCTAGTTTGAATTGTTTCTGTCAGTTAGCATGGAAAGTCCTAATCAATATCCTTCAATGCCTAGTTCAAATCTTCCCTCTTTTATCAAGTCCTCTCAGCATTGAACAGTATGAAGAAAATGCCTTCTTTGCATTCTTAACTGGTTTGCTGGATCCCAGCAGCCAATTCTGTGCATCTCTTCCCAACTCTGAGTTTAGTGATGTCATGCTGGTAATGTGAAAGTAATTACAATATGGAAATCAACAAATTCTACAAATCAGAGCACTTTTCTCTCTACCCCAGCCCCCAGCCTGTTCGTCAGCACATCACTGTCTAAATCCCTTCCCAATGGTATCACCCATTTGGATAGTAATCATGTAGTGATTTGTGACACTTCTTGCATTTTGAAAATGGTGAGATTGGGAGGACAAGTACCCTGTATACTGCATCTGAATCTTCAGAATCTCAAAGGAGGAAAGGTCCTGAGAAATAATTTGGTCCATGATCTTCATCTCATACAGGAAGACAAAGAGGTACAGAGACCTTCAGTGACTTGATGGTTGTGCCAAGAAGAAGAAAGTCTTCTGACTTATATTCATTATTTCAATGTAGGCTTTCCCCCTCCATTTTCAGCCTTTCATTTTCTCCAATTTTGGTATAAAATAA